TGTGTATGTAGGAGGAACTTCCTCTTCCATCAATGAAATTACTTCTCCAATCGCTTTCCTTAGCCTTATGGAACCACAATGAGACTGCCTGCCCTCGGGGAGCTTATAGTCTACTGGGGGAAATCGCATGTACACACACGTCAATACAAAATCGAGTCTGGCTAAATCCAAAGTGATTGGGGCACATGGGGCCTTCTGGATTTCTCTCTAAGCATCCCTGTTCCTCAAAAGGGACCCTTATCTGTGAGGGCAAGCAGGAAAGGATAGAGGCATCTTGGGTTTAGGGAGACCAATCGAACTCTCACCTCTCTTCGTTCAAAGAAGATGATTCTCCTCATTACCAGATGGGTAAATCAAGGTATGGTTTAAATATTAGGACCTCTGGCCCCGCTCATACTTTCAGAAATATCACTGTGATGACCGCTGAGCTGTCGGAAGCTCCTTTTTGATTTCTTACGCTGTCTATGGAGGAAATGCCGGAGAAGGGCCATCACAGGCTACAGGCCTTTGAGTGCCTTTCATTTCCTCTCCCAGACATTCTTTCAGCTAGTCAGACGGTCCCTTGGCCGACGGACTTTTCCGCAGATTTCAAAATCAAATTGTAGGTAAAAGGTTTCAGTTCTGGTACAAGAGAACCACAGAGGCAAGAAAGTGTCTGTGAGGAGCTGGCACCCAGGCTAAGGGGAGATGAATTCTCCAGATGCAGGGAAGTGACTTCTCATCCCAGCCACCACTTAATCTTTGTTTTAAAAAAAATACACATTTCATGGATGTCTTTTGTCTTTGTATAGCAGTCATTTCAGCTTTTCCCCTTCCACTAAGCCCTCCCTCAGTGAAAATCAAGCCACACTATCTGATACAGTGACTGATAATGTAACAAATTCTGTCTTCCTGCTCCCCTGCCTTCTGCCATGATGGGGAGGGGAAATTATATTTCATTATCTCATCTGGTACCCTCACCGGTACCCTCAATTACTCAGGGTTGAAGGATGTCACTTAGTCTTATCCCTGCAAAGAAATGTCCACATAACCTTCCCATGGTTACACTTTTCTCTGTGGATCTCTGCTGATATGCCCCCAAATGTATTCTCATTCCCACCCCCAAAACTTCAATGGGGGATTTTCCAAAATGCTAGACTTGGAGTTGAGAGACCTGGGCTCAGATGTCACTACACAAATTTATTGTGATCATGCGCAAAAGCACTTAAGTCTCTCAGAGCCTCGTTCTTCTCATCTGCAAAATGGGAGTAGCAGTATTTGTATGGCCTACCTCGCAAGGTGGTTGGGATAAAAGCGTTTTGCAAATTATAAGGCACTATAGAAACGTGAATTATTATCGTTGTTGTTGCCGATGTTACTTAATGTGTACAATTCTAGAAAAACTCCAGGCAACTTGAAGCTCCTCCCTCTCCTCCCTACCTTGAGCTACCCCCTACTATTCCAATGGTGTTTCAAGTAGGGCGGGTGCCTGGGAAGGGCATAACCTCTCCAGCTGCACCAATGTCTAAACCACGGCAGGGGTGGGGGGGGCCTATGGGTCTTGGAGGGGCTGGGTAGGGCCTTAGGAGAGAGTCAGGGTTTCAGCAGCTCCAAATATTAGCCCAATGGCAATATCAATTTCAGTTCCTTCCAAAGGAAAGTACTTTGTGAGAGCTTTAGGGGTGATAATTACGGTATCCCCAGGTGTTTGTCTTTATAGAATCATCATCCGTGTCCTGTCTGCTATGTGCAGGTTTAATTCCAAGGTGCCATCCCAGGCCCATTCTATCTTGGTGACCTTATCAGCTTCCATGAGTTCAACTATAATCAATAATTAATAATAATAATAATAACAAGAAAAGCATGAATTTCTATAGCACTGTAAGGTTTGCAATATACTTTACAAAGATTCCATTTTATCCTTACAACAATCCTGGGAGGCAGGTGCTATTATTATACCTACTTCACAGATGAGGAAACTGAGGCAGAACATAGTTAAGGGACTTTCCTGGGGTCAAACAACTGGGTAGTGTGGGAGATTTGAACTCCAGTCTTCCTGAATCTAGGTCCAGAGCTCTATCCAATAGCACACTGTCTAGCTGCCTCTCTATGCAGATTCAGCACAAATCTACCTATCTGCCTCTCCATCTCCACCTGCCTGCTAGACGTCTCCATCAGAATGACCCAGAGAAATCTCAAACTCAGCCTGATCCTCTGTCCAAAACAGAGCTCACCATTTCTTCCTCTAAACCCTCCCCCCAGCCCATCCCCTAACGTCCATATCTCTGTCAAAAGCACTGCCACTGTACCATTCACAAGGATGCGTCACCTTGCAGTCACCAGCTTCCAGATCCGACCAGTCTCCAAGTCTCATCTGATCATCTCCCCAGGGTCTCTTAAATCCATCCCCTTCCCTCTTCACATCAGAACCAATCCAATCCCAGCCTTCATCACCTGCTCCATGGACCACTGTGGTAGACTTCTCACTGGTCTCCCTGGCTTAAATCCCTCCCTCCTTCAATCTAGGCTCTGCTGAGCTGCCAAAAGTACCACCCCAAAGCACAAGCCCTGTCACGGCAGCTTCAGCGAATCCTCACTGCCTTTAGCATAAAATATAGAATCCTTTATTTGGCATAAAAAGCCACAAGCTAACTCTTGCTTGTCTTTCTAGAGTGATCTCCATTTCCTTCCCTGTCATGCACTCTACATTCCAGCCAAACTGGCCTACTCACGGTTCCCAAGACACAAGATTCCATCTCCCATCTCCACATCTTTGCACAGGCTGTCCCCCATGCCTGGAATGCTGTCCCTCCTTGCTTCTGCCTTTTGGAATGCCTCAGCTCAACTGCCACTTCTTTCAAAGCCTTTCCTGATTTCTTCTCCAAATTATTACTAGTCTCCCAATTACTGTGTATTGATTTTGTAGGTATCTTAAGTTTACTTATTTGTGATCATGTTCTATCCCATTCCCTCCTCTCTCCCCCCCATAGTGGAGCGAGAGTTTCTCTGGGGCAGAACTGGATTCTTTTGTCTTTGCCTTTTTGGGTTTTGTCTCAAGTACTTAGAGCACTGCCTGGCACACAGCAGGTACAAGTGCTTATGAAATTGAAATTAATTGAATTGAATTGAATTTTGGTGGAAAGTTCTATGTGGCATTTCTCTCCAAATGGTCTCTATTTAGTTATACAAAAACTCAACAAGAGCCCTTGCCCTCCCAGGTACCAGTCTGTGCCTGTCAGTCAACAGACATTTATTAAGCACCTGCTGTGTGCCGGGCACTGTGCAAAATGCTGATCCACCCATCTGAGTTAAGTAGGAAACAGGTTCAACCACAGGATGCAGGGTTCTGAAAAAAATTAGGAGCACTGGTGCTTCTTTTTCTCTCTGCCTCCAAGGACCAAAGGATAGGTTGTTAGTGACTTTGGCCACGTGTGACCATATGGAAGGGACCTGAAGGTACCTTGAGGTCAGATCTCGGTTCCATTAACAGAGGTCCTAAGGGACCCTCCATGGGAAGGTCTAGTGGTCAAGATCACATGGAGCCTAGCTAGTCTTATGAACCGCTTAGTGCTGTGTCCTTCATAAATTTATCCAAAGTCTTTTTGGATCCCTTTGTGTTTTCTGCTAGTGATGAGGTAATGAGCAACCACAGTTTATGACTAGCTGTGTGAAACAGGACATCACTCATAGCCAGGATGGGACGGTTTTCTCTTTGGGACCCTTTGGGGCTCTCCCACGCCCTTTCAAATGTCCAGCAGCCACAACTGGGTGTGCTAGCCTAAGAAAAGTCAGACTCATGTGGAGGAGCAGAAAAGGACTGCTTTCCTGCTTGCTAATTCTCTCCTCACCCTGCTCACTACTCAATACAGCCTCATTTAGTTAAAGCTCATTGATTCAGATTAATTAGTGGAAATAAATCTGATCTAGTCACTAGGGGACTGGGGGAGAATCCTGGATTTAATGTGTTTTTTCTTTTCTTTTTTTTTTGTTTTGTGAAGCAATTGGGGTTAAGTGACTTGCCCAGGGTCACACATCTAGTAAGTATCAAGTATCTGGTCTGAGACCAGATTTGAATTCAGGTCCTCCTGACTTCAAGGCCGGTACTCTATTCATTGTGCCACCTAACTGCCCTGTTTTTTTTTAATCTATATTAGAGGGGCAGCTAGGTGGTGCAGTGGATAGAGTACCAGCCCTGAAGTCAGGAGGACCTGAGTTCGAATCCGGCCTCAGACCAAACACTTGCCACTTACTAGCTGTGTGATCCTGGACAAGTCACTTAACCCCAATTGCCTAAAAAAAAATTTTTTTTTTAAATCTGTATTAGACACTATTTTCAAATAAAGACCTCTGAATCAACTAGGCTCTAAGAAAGTTGCATAGTAGAGACCAATAAGGAGACTGGATGACTAGATAAGGAGAAGATAATTCTGGGCCTCAGGCATTGGGTTTACAAATGAGTGCTTGGAGATCTTAATTTATCTCAGATAAGTTGAATATTCCCCAAAAATTATGGTACTGGTTTGCTGAGCAGACCCAGAGGTAAACTAACCTGTCCCTGAGTTATCATAAATTCAGGATTAGACGTGGTGTGAGGCCATTAGGAATGAGCTTGGTATCAGAAAGCCCTGGGTTCCATAGTCCCCTTTCCCCACCCCAAGCTCATGGTCAAGAGGCCACGTATGGTGGGAGAGGTGATCAGCTACAGTGCTCCAAAGGTACATCAGGCAGAAACACTGAAAATAGTGGGGGGGGGGGGGGCAGCAGCACTATTTAAAGGAGGTAACTTCATTCAACAGTTCATTCAAACTCTCTGAGCCCCCGTAAAATGGGAGAAGCAGTCCATTTTCTTCCCAGCATTGTTGTGAGGATTTAAGGAGATGTGTGTAAATCACACAGTGCTATGTAAATGGCACCAGGGTGATGTGAAGTGCTATATGGTGTAGCAGAATTGTGTGAGCCTTTTTCATGATAAACTTGGTTTTGCTTTTCTGTCTGATCTTTCTGTTTCTTTCCACTTTCAGATTATCCTTTGGGGTCGAACTGAGAAATGCCTAAAGGAGACCACAGAAGAGATCAGGCTGATGGGCACCGAATGCCACTATTTTATCTGTGACGTGGGCAACCGAGAAGAAGTTTACCAGACCGCAAAAGCCGTTCGAGAGAAGGTAGGGAGCCTGGGAGGTAGAAGACGGTGACTGGTCTCTTGAGGCTGTCTTCAAATCAGACTTAAGAGGTTGAGAATCCCCAAGGGAGGAGAGGTGATTGCACGGGCAAATCTCAGGTGTGTTTGAAAGGAGATGCTTTTGGGGGCAGCCAGGTGGCGCAGTGGAAAGAGCACTGGCCCTGGAGTTAGGAGGACCTGAGTTCAAATCCGCCCTCAGACACTTGATACTTACTAGCTGTGTGACCCTGGGCAAGTCACTTAACCCTGAAAGAAAAGAAAAAGAAAAAAGAAAGGAGATGCTTTGGCCACGATCTGGCCTCAGAGAGAGCCTTGCTCAGAGTGGGCAGCCAGGGTGACCTCATGGACTCAAGGGGCCAAGGATGTAGGCCACTGCCGCTCCCCCTTGCCCCCTGAGAAGGAGCTGGTAGGTGGGGGAAGGGCTCCTCTCTAGGGTAGATCGTGGTAAAGGTAGCTCTGCCAATATCCATGAACAGAAAGAACCCAAAGAAATCTGGCTCACTCTCCACATCCCTCTTTTATTATTTCCTTTCCCAAACCCTTTTTCTACTGGCTGATTTCTTACAGGTGCATTCATTCGAAGACCATTTATTAAGCATTTATTATTTATTGGATAGAGAGCTGGACTTGGAGTCAGGATAATTCAGGGGTTTAGATTCAAATACACATCTTTGACACATACTGTCTGTGTGACCCTGGTCAAGTCATTTAAATCTCAATTGGATCTGAGGCGTCTCTCAAACAGTATTAACTTACACTCTCTAGAGATGAGATAGCAGATGTCTGCTGCCTGTCCACCGCCCCCCACCTCCCAAAAAACCATCTCCACGTTGTCAGGATTCCAATTACAAACAACTTATTAAATGATCATTATGAGAAATGTAGGATGTATTTCTCATGTGTGTGTATATTTATACATATGCGTGTAAGATATGTATGTATATATAGGATATGTAAGATAAATATAAGCATAATAAATGTAGGAGTGAAGATATAAAAACAAAAACAAAGCAGCCTCTCCCCCAAGGAATTTACATTCTAGTAGTACAATTAAGTAATATTTTGTACTTGCTTATCAACGTACACTCTGCCTGCCCCCAAGAGCTCTTTGAAGGCAGGGACTGTCTCATTTCTGTCCTTGTCTGTCCCCCGCCACCCCCCCACCCTCATTGCCCAGCCCTGGGCCTTGCATACAGTGCATGATTGAATACTTGTTGCATTGAGTTGAATGATGTAATTCCTGTCTTCAAGGAACTTGCAATCTGTTAAGAGGAAAACCCCACCTACACAAATAAGCATGTTATCTGTGCAATGGGGCAAAAAAAGAGAACCAAATGAAATATTCTAGGGAAATTGGAGGAAGGAGATATCACTTTCAACTAGGGCAATCAGGGTGGGCATCCAGAAGGAGGTAAACTGAGTCTTGGAGGAAGAGAAGGATTTTTTTTTTAAACTAGAATCAAAGAGGGAATCCTTTCTATTCATGAGAAGTAATCTGCTCAATCAGTTCTTTCTGTGCTTGAGAGGTAGCTTGTGCAATACGTGGAGGTGGAAGGTGATGTGTCGATTTGAGGGATGAGTGTTGGGCCCAACTTGGCTGGAACAGAGGGAATTCAGGTCACAATGTCTTAGCTAGGCTCTGTTCTCCTCTTCTTGTTCCGAGGTGGGGGATATCACAATCCTGGTCAACAATGCTGCCGTGGTCCATGGGAAGAGCCTGATGGACAGTGACGATGACGCCCTCCTGAAGTCACAGCATATCAACACGCTGGGACAGTTCTGGGT